ATTCATATTATATTTTTCTACAAAAAAATATGAATGTGTATGTCTCTTTTTACAGTAATCATCCATCGTTTGTAAGTTTGTGCTCGAAGTATCCAAAAAAAGACACTGTTAACCAATTATCAATTGATGAGTTTTCATCAACTGATAATTGGTTAACAGTGTCGGTATTCGCACATTCTATAGACTCACGAAAATTAAAAAATGACTTTGTTAAGGATATGTGTAAAGAATTTGTATGGTCTGGATTTCTTTGTGTTCTGCTCTTTCAACTGTGTGTTCTACAAGAGTTCAGTGTTATATAGAACAATTAGTTCTTTTCTAAAATATAAAATTATGTTTGATCTTAATATTGAACCTCGTATTCTATGTTCATCATCAAATATTGTTAATTTGTTGTTTTGTTTTGAGGAAATAAACCCTCCATGTCCATTTAAACACAATCATTATATATCTCTTATTTTCATTCCAGATAAAAATTGTTTAAAACATAAAATCTGTAAAAAAAGTTAATTTTACTAATCAACAGCTCATATGTTTGTCAAAAAATATAATATGAATGGTATCATCTATATCTACCATTAATGATAAAACTGTTTCATGTATTCTTGTCAACAAAAAGTGTATATATTCCTCTCATAAATATAAATCAATTGCTGTCAGTATTCTTAAGTCCATTGCCAGATTATTATCACCAAACAGATAAATCGAAAATAAACTAAATAAGCAATTACCAGTAGATTCAGTTCGGTAAAAAGGGCAATTAATACTTTTTAAAGTAATATAAGTTCTACAATAAGCTCAATGGAAAATAAAATTGGATTTAATCATTTAGTTACAATAAATCAGTTTGGTACAAAGTTGAACCAATAAGATTAAGGCAAAAAATATATTTCATAGTATTATTACTATATTAATTTACATCCCCAAATGAACGAGCGCTAGGATAATATGTTTACAAATTTTAAATTTAACTTTTTATTTTACTTGTTAGGATAAATAAAGTAAATCTTACTTCGCCGCCATAGTTGTTCTTGACTGGCATTCCTGAGCGCAACTTTTAAATTCAACAAAAAGACTCAAAAGAAACTCAAGCTCAACAAAAATATTTCTCTTTATTGACTTATTAACAGTCAACAACTGATAAAAAATCTGACTCTCATAAAAATATTGTTTGCAGTTCTTTTATTGATTCAAAATCATTTTATCCAAATAATACATTATCTTCAAATGAAAATAGTTCTAAAACTAAAGACAAAAACATCTTATCCACTAAAAATTTGTGAGCAAAGTCTCGCTTAAATGAAATTGTCAAGTGAACCCTGTAGTGAATATGATGTTGCATGTTTCCGTTCGAAGGCTTCTACTTTGAAAGATTCAGAAATATAAAATTTGATTCAAAATGCTTTTGCTACTGATGAAACTTATTCTTTTCCAAAATCAAATGGGCAAACTTTTGAACTTCTATGGTTAAAAAAATTTTCATGGTTTAGATATTCACCTTCTGAACATGGAGCTTTATGTTTGTATTGCATTTTCTTTGGATATAAATACCCTTCAAAACCTTCTAGATTTAAAAATTTTTATTCTAAGTCATTCAAATACTGGCCAGATGCTGTGAGCACTTTTTATAGACATTACTATGATAAAAACGGAAATATTTATGAACATCACTCAGCAGAAATATTTTTGAACATCATTACGCAGTACAAATTCTACCAGGACCATATTTTCCGCAGTTTTAAATACTGTGAATAGAAATATTAAAAACATAGATATTTTAATAAAGAATATGAAAAGGAGATTGCTTTAAATCTTGAGAAGTTGCGTGCAATTGTTGACTCAATCATTTTCTTAATCCGACTTGGTATAACTTTCAGAGGTCATTATGATGGTCATTTGCAAATATTCTTAAGTGGGTGTAGTAGGTTATTTTATTGAACTTTTAAACTACAAAAAGTAGAGGTGGGGATAAAGTTCTTGAACTTCGTCTTAACAGCTGCGCAAAGAGTGGATCTTGTATTTTAAATTTGTCACAAAATGAATTAATAAGTTGTTGTGGAAAGTATATCTAGAATATTTTGACTTCTGAAATAAAAGAAAATCAATTTTTTTTCAGTTATTGCTGATAAAGCATCTGACTGCTCCAATTAGGAACAACTGTCTTTAGTAATTAGATTCATAGACTTATTCCTATGATAGGAATAAAATAACAAAAGGGTTTTTATGGTAAGTTATTATATTATTGCTATTGTGTTATTGCATTTCTCATAGTATGATAGTTATTCTAATTAAACTTTATTTTATTATCGCTATAGCTTTAACTATATGTTGAAGTACAAACCATTATTTGATCGTATAATAACTTGTAAAAAGCAAAGAGCACTTTTCACTTGGTACTTTTTAAATCAAAAAACTACATACCTAGAAAAAAATGTTTTAATATTTTATTATAACCCAGACAGCAAGCTTACATTGGCCCAACGTAAGTTTTAACATTGGCAAGCTTATTTCGTTGGGCCAATATTTAGCCAATGTTTTTTTTCGGCGTATTATTTTCAATTCTGCAAATCGGTTTTTTACAAATATCGTACTATATTGGGCCAACATTTAGCCAATGCTTTTTTTCCGGCGTAATATTGCAATTCTACAAATCGATTTTTTGCAATTATCGTACAACGTTGGGCCAACATTTGACCAATGCAGTTTAATATTTTGCTGTTCTTACATTTATGCCGTAGCCAATATTCGGCCAATGTAGTTGCGGATTAGTATATATTTTTAAATTTGTTGCAAAAATTTTTAAAAATGGAATCGTTTGATAAAATAAAAAATGGTTTTGATATTATCTTTCCATTTTTTTAAATTATAAAAATAAAGTATATTTATGAATTTTCTAAGAATCTTAAAAGATTCCTTATAAGAAATAAATTTCAAGAGATTCTCGTGACTTGATATACTTTTTTTAAATAATGAAATATTTGCTAACATTTAAATAATATGCTTAAAATTTTTTTTACTATAATCTAAATTATTAATGTAATAATAAAGGGAATAATCAAATTATTTTTGTGTAAGATCTTAAAGTTTTATTTTTATTTTTATTGCTGTATGGACATTTCAAATGTTTGATTTGTTTAATAATCTTTACTAAATAAATGTAACATTTCAAATGTTCGATTTATTTAATAAAGAAGACATTTTAAATGTCTTCTTTATTAAATAAATCAAACATTTAAAATGTCATTCAGTATAAGTTTTTTTTTTATAATTTATTTATAATAGTTTAGATTATATATTTAGTAGATATTATAAGATATATTTAGTAGCTATTATAAGATATATTATTAAAGGTATTAATAATATATATGTGGCATTGAAGTTGTTAGAAGCTGATATTTTACATTTTAAATATGTCTCTTATGTTTGGTTTTTTCTGTGTTTGATTGTGAAACCCTATCTACTAACATATTAGAACAGTGTACAAAAAGTGATGTTACTAGAATTAATATTATACTTATGTAGAGCTTTCTAATAATCCATCTTTCTGAGGCAGAGGGACGTTATTCTTGGTTTTATAATTTTTTAATTTAATATCTCTGAATATTTTTCATATTTAGTTTGCATACAACAGTTAACAACTTTAGGCTTATACATTAACTTTAGTTATAACTTAATTATTAATGATTTGATTTATAGATTTTTAAAGCAATACAAGATTGAATTTAGCAGAAGGCTAAACTTCTGCTCTGGAGACAAAAAATGAAGACAGCGAAAATGACCAGCCAAAATAAAGATTAAAGAGACAAAAAATTGTGTACATCTTGGTGTAGATGATTTATCCTCAATTTCTTATAATTAAACAAAAAATATTATAAAAACTTTGGAACTTACCTGTAACTCTAAACTCTTTACAGAAGTTCAATGTTTGCTCTGAGAAGTTGGATGAACAAAATTTATTAAATGGTAAGTTTTTATATAAAAGTCTTTTGTCTGATGATTGAAAATCTTTTTTCATAGGTTTAACTTTTACAATTTTAAAGACTTTTTCATATATTAGAGTCAAAAAGTAAGAGTGTTTATTAACATTTTATAGTGTAACAATCAACATATCAAAGCTTACACCACAGGCTCGGTCGGGAAGCGGGATCGATCACTCTCGAATACTGACCATCGAAATTATATTAAGTTGCGAAAAAATGGCCTGGTTTTTTAATTGTTTTGAGAACATTTAAGTTTATGAACGTAACAAAAAAATTTTGTTGGATTTCAAATTTCAACAGAGTATTCATATCAGTTAAAAGTTTTAACATTTGCTGGAGGTTCATTATTATTCATTATATAAACGTTTATTTAAATTTATCTAATAGACAAAGGTAATACAGTATTTTTATAGATGATATTATTTTTAAAAGTTGTATTAATAGAATTCAAAACTAAAGTATGTAAAAAAAATTATTTACAAACATTGGACTGTACCTTGAACATCTGGAAAATTTGTTAATATTGGCTAAAGTCGTGTAAAACCTGGAAAAGTCAGGGAATTATTTTTTTCTTTAGATAGTTAGGAAAAATCTGTAATTCTAGTTAAGAAGTTACTCGTTTCACAATTGAATGCTGTATACATGATGACTCGTTTCACAATTGAATGCTGTATACATGATGAGTCGCACTATTTTTAAAAGTGAGGTTGTTGTAAAAGAATTTTTTTTTTAGGGAAAAGATAAAATTATAAGATAAAATAAATTTTTTTAAAAGATTTTTTTAAATTTTTTAAAATTTTTTTAAAAAGATTTTTTTTAGATAAAAGAAACAATTTTTAGGTAAAATAAAAATAAAATTTTTTACTAAAGAAATGTTTTTCACTCTCTTATAAAATTTAAATTTTGTGACTTGCCACATTTTCAAAATACAGCGCTCGATTAAGCTATTATGGTTTTTTTGGTGCTACCCATTTATTTATTTTTTCTGAAACTTTTATTTTTCATAGTGTTCATTCTTAGTCATCTTTAATAATAAGATCCATACTAAAATGTATAATAAGCTTTATACTAATATCCAACTTAACTAATAGCTAAGTTTTATAAGTTTTGTCATTCAAAGCATGTACAATCTTAGCATTTCCATTACATTAGATAGTAATTTTAAACATTTTGTAAAAACCATTGTTAAAAGTGGTCAAGGAAATTCATCTGATTTTCATGTCATTGAACTTTATATAAATAGTTGGCTACGAACCCTGTTGGAGAAACACTGTTTTAATATGAATTTTTTTGTTTTACAGTGCAATTTGTATCTTAAACATTAACGAAATTTGTTTTGTGTCAGTGCCAGAAATTAAATGTTAACCTGCAAATTTCATAATTCATAAAAATATTATAAATCCATTAGCAAGTATATATTTTTATCATTAAAAATTTGCCCCTCTGTCTTTAATTTTTTCTGTTTTATTAGTGATTGTTGTATTTACTTTCATAAATTCTAATTATAGTATGTAATTAGTTGTATAGTTTGATAATAATATAAATAACTTTATTGTTTCAAGATAAAGTTGTATCCTTGAAAGATAAGCTGATTTTATTGGCATAATGAGCAAGCATTGAAGTGCAACTTGGTAAACTACAAAACACATCAAATTCAGTTATAAAAATTTGAGTAACAAATGTATGCTAATTATTGTATTGCCTGAACGAGTGTTATTGCCGTTAAAAGAAGTGAAGAATTCAAGTACTTTGGAAAAAAAAGACAAGAAAATACTTAAGTAAATGGTAAATATTTTTTTATGATCAGTTTATTCATTTTTTATGATATCTTAGTACAATTTAAAACACTTTAAACAAAATACTCTTTAAAGATTTTTTGTAAATGACATTTTATATTAATTTTAGTCTAAACAAAATTTACTTTAATTATTGCCAGGTTGTGTATTTTTGCAGGTCAATTGTTTGGCACAAATTGGAGTTAAAGACGAAGGAGATAGTATATATTTTCAGGTTCAATTTTGCATTACAGAATTACTTTTAATTTGTTATATTTCTTTGGTCCATAATTAAACAAACAACTATTTTTTTTGCAGAAACTGTGAAGTCAAATAAGCATAGCTTTTGCAGACATGTGATAGAGATAGCGGAAGAAAAAATGATAATTGTGGGCACCAAATATCATAAGCTAAACACGATTCAATAACAAGTAGCTCAACCAATATCGAAACTACTTTATAAATTTTATAGTGAATTTTTTTATTTAAAACTCAAAATGTCAGTTTTGGGTTTAAGTTTGGTGTTTGCAATATGTATATATAACAGAACAATTATGTTAAATAAATAAATTTTTATACTTGTATCATACATTCTTTTTTTTCTCTATAACTTTTCAAAATTTTTCAAATTATCTTATTTGTAACAACGATCTAATGTTACATAAAACGTTAGGCTGATATATAACATACGATATTGGGCCAATGTTGTATACAACTTTAGGCCAATTTTGTATGCAACGTTTGGCCAATGTTGTATACAACGTTGGGCCAATGTCGTATACAACATTGGCCTAACGTTATATACAACGTTGGGCCAATGTCGTATACAACATTGGCCTAACGTTATATACAACGTTGGGCCAATGTTGGGTTAACGTTGTATACAACATTGGACCAATATTGTACACAACGTTGGGCCATTACCTAACCAATGATCAAATCTGCATTGGGCCAACATCGACTTTCAACGTTGGGCCAATGCATCATCATGCATTGGCCCAACGTTGGTTCAATGTAAGCTTGCTGTCTGGGAAATTAATCAAACTGAGTATTAAATTTGTAATTAAATAATATGTACCTATTGTAATAGTTTGTTTTTACTTAGTTTGTAGAGTCTATTTTTTGAAGGCTTTTGCAAATAACTTATTTATTAAACAAATGGGTTAGGTCTTTTTTTTTTGTATTTCACCTTCATCTCCCCCCCCCCCCCGCTATTCTTTCGTGGGGAGGGGGCGGGGAAATCTGCAACCGACTATTTTGACTAACCTCTTTAAAAAGCTGAATCCGCCCCTGGTTTCAGCTTTTTAAAGAGGTTAGTCAAAATAGTCGGTTGCAGATTTCCTCGCCCCCTCCCCACGAAAGAACTGGTTTCGGTATTTTCTTTTCAATTTTTTAAAATTATAAAAATAAAAAAACCAGGTATATTTATGAATCTTCTAAGAATCTTAAAAGGTTCTTTATAAGAAATAAATTTCAAGAGATTATCGTGACTTAATGTTTAGTTTTTTTAAATAATGAAATATTTTTTAACATTTAAATAATATGCTTAAAACATTTTTTTCTTCAATCTAAATTATTAATGTAATAATAAAGGCAATAATCAAACTATTTTTGTGTAAGATCTTAGAGTTATTTTTTTATACATATTGCTGTATTGGCATTTCAAATGTTTGATTTATTTAATAAACTTTATTAAATAAATGTAACATTTCAAATATTTGATTTATTTAATAAAGAAGACATTTTAAATGTCTTCTTTATTAAATATATCAAACATTTGAAATGTCATACAGTAAAAGTGTTAAAAATAATTTTATTTTTCAAAATATAATTATAATAGTTTAGATTATATAGCTATTATAAGATATATTATTAAAGGTATCAATAATATATATGTGGCATTGAAGTTGTTAGAAGCTGATATTTGACATTTTAAGTATGCATCTTTTGTTTGATTTTTTATGTGTTTGATTGTGAAACCCCATCTACTAACATAATAAAACAGTGTACAAAAAGTGATGTTACAAGAATTTATATTCTACTTATGTAGAGCTTTCTAATATTGCCAAACATTTTATTTTTAGACCAATGACCAGTCTATAATAATTGATTGAATTATGAGATTAAATCAATAAATAATCATTAAAAACAATTAAAATGAAAAAACTCAATTTAAATCATTATTTTTGTTTGTTTGATTTAAATCGAAATAACCCTTTATATATTCCATCTTTTTGAGGCAGAGGGATATTATTCTTGGTTTTATTATTTTTTAATTTATTATCTCTGGATATTTTTTATATTTAGTTTATATTATTTTATATTATTTTATATAAAGTTTTATATAAATAGTTGGGTATGAATCCTGTTGGAGAAACATTGTTTAAATATGAGTTGTTTTTTTTTCGAACAGTGCAATCTGTATTTTAAAAATTAACGAGAATTGTTTTGTGTCAGTGCCAGAATTATAAAAATATCATGAATCCATTAGCAAGTGTATATTTTTATTATTAAAAAATTGCCCCTCTGTCTTTAATTTTATCTGTTTTATTAGTGATTGTTGTAATTAATTTCATAAACTCTAAATATAATATGTAATTATTTGCATAGTTTCTTAATAATATAATTAACTTTATTGTTTCAAGATAAAGTTGTATCCTTGAAAGATTTGCTGGTATTATTGACACAATGGGCAAGCGTTGAAGTGCAACTTACAAAACACATCAAAAGCAGTTATAAAAAAATGAGTAACAAAGGCATGCTAATTATTGTGTAGCCTGAAAGAGTGTCATTGCCATTAAAAGCAGTGAAGAATTCAAGTACTCTTGAAAAAAAAAGTAAATGGTAAATGTTTTTTAATAATCTGTTTATGCATTTTTTATGATATCTTGGTACAATTTATATACTTTGAATAAAATACTCTTTGAAGATTTTTTGTAAATGACATTTTATATTAATTTAAGTCTTGACAAAGGTTCTTTAATTATAGCCAGGTTGTGTATTTTTACAGGTTAATTATTTAGCACAAATTGGAGTTAAAGACGAAGGAGATTGTTTATGTTATTTACTTAGAATTGTTTTTTCTAATGGCCTAGCTGTAAAATAAAAAAATTGCAGGGAGAGGACTAAAAATTGGAATAGAAAAAATGTTGATGGCGTATGTTGAAATAAAAATATTGATTGTATTTGTTAAATATGTTTAAAAATGTTGTTAAAAAATGTATGTTAAAAAAAAAATGTTGATTGCATATGATAAAAATGTTGATTGCTTATTTTGCATATGTCAAAATAAAAATGTTGATTGCATATGTTGCTACTGGTAAGTGGTTTAGAAAAACTTATTTTTTTAGTTTCAATTTTGCATTACATAATTACTTTCAATTTGATATGTTTCTTTGGTGCATAATTCAACAAACAATTATTTTTTTTGCAGAAACTGTGAAGTCAAATACGCATGGCTTATGCAAACATGTGAGAGATATAGCGGAAGAAAAAATAATAATCGTGGGCACCAAATATCATAAGCTAAACACGATTCAATAACAAGTAGCTCAGTTAATATCAAAACTACTCTTTAAATTTTATAGTGAATTTTTTAATTCAAAACTAAATGTGTCAGTTTTTGGTTTAAGTTTGGTGTTTGCAATATGTATATTTAACCGAGAAATTATGTTAAATAAATAAATTTTTATACTTGTATCATGCATTCTTTTTTATCTCTATAATTTTTCAATGTAGCGATGCAAATCATCTTATTTGTAATAACAATCCAATGTTGCATAAAATATTAGGCCGATATAAAAATAATAATCGTATAACATACGCTATTAGGCCAATGTTGTATACAATGTTAGGCCAATTTTTATACAACGTTGGGCCAATGTTGTATACAATGATGGGCCAATTTCTTATACAATATTGGCCTAACGTTATATAAAACGTTGGACTAATGTTAGGGAAACGTTGTATATATAACGTTGGATCAATGGTTTACATAACGTTGGGCCAATACTTAACCAATGATCAGTCTTGCATTGGGCCAACATCGACTTTCAACGTTGGGCCAATGCATCACATTCATTGGCCCAATGTTATTTCAATTTAAACTTGCTGTGTGAGTCATTCTACTTATCTGGTTTAATAAAAAATTGAAAAAAAAGCGCAAAGAAAAAAACAAACTGATTGCATCTTGTGAAAAAAAACTTTTACAAAAATTGATTAAAAATGATGATATAGGTATTACTGCAGAACAGTAGGTTGCAAAGTGATTGATTACACATATTCTTAATTGAACACAATTATAAATTTTTAAAACAAATTTACAAAAAAAAATTTACAAAAAAAGTAAGATTATATATTCATTTTACATTAAAACTTAATGTTAAAAAAGATTAAATTTAATATTTCTCCAACACAGTATTTAGGCTACAGATGAACTTGACAAAAAAAATAACAGAAAGCTGACTAAGTTTACCAACCAAAGATATATCTAATCATATTTTGTTGTGATATTTTTAAGAAACAATAGCTCTTCAAAAACTAATGAAAGCTGTCATAGTACAATCCAGTGCCACATTACTCTCTACTTCTGCTTAATAGTTTTATCAGCTTTTGCGTGTTACTATTATATACACTTATTTTAAAACTTAGACTCCAAAGCTTCTAAATTCTTGTACACCTCTATGGTAGGACCATATCTTGACTATGCAGAACAGTACTAACAAAGTCTTTTTACGAAAAATGTTATGAAACAATATAATTACATTTTAAATTAAATGCTCTTTCAAAAAGCTTCAACACAATGACTTTAATAATTTTTTCAAAACAAAAAAAAAAAAAAGTTGACAATTTATCTCGATCAATTACCACCTGAAAGTTTATTAGCTATTATTACAGCAAGTTATTATTCGAAACTTTTATGTAAGTTATTAAAAAGTCTATAATCATTCTTTTCAAAACCAGTTTTTGGTGATCATAATTCTTTTAAACAAGCCATTAAAGAGTAAAAAATGTTTAAAAAACTTAAACTAAAGTTAGATATGTAATGCTTTTTGAACATTTTTTAATAAATAAGAAAATGTAAGAAAAAAATATTAATTTTTACCTGAACATCCTTTTCTTATAATTAAACTTCTTAATATGCTCGGCTGTGCTATACACTTTGGTTCAGAAATATACAGTTTTAGTTTAGCAAACTCTTGAGGAGAAAAATTGTTTGCCCTTGAGAGAACCAGCTTATCAACTTCTATACTTAAAATATAGTATCCATGATGCAGTACCTGGTTTATTTTAATTTTTTTGCATCCTAGTTGAAACGGCTTCGTTAATAATTTGTGTTTTGTATTGCTTAATGTTGCTGAAAAATGCATTTGACCACTTGGAGTAAAATATATGCATAAATCACAAGAGAGGTTACCAGCAAAATAAAATACATTAGATAAAGAAGACCAACTATTTCCAGAAGTGAAGGAAGTTAAACATATTTCAAATGTTATTTCATATTCTTTAGGAAAAAAATGTATTGTATGAAGAAGGCTGTTACTGACTATGTAATAATCTTCCTTCAAAGAAAACAAATCTAAAAAAA